TTGTCAAATATTAGCTGCTCATAGGTGGATGAGTTTATATCTGGATTCTCAACTCTGTTCCATTGGTCTGTGTATCTGTTGCTGTACCAATTCCAGGCTGTTATGACTACTGTGGTGGTATAATCGGTTCTAAAATCAGGTAGTGTAAGGCCTCCCACTTTGTTTTTCTTCTTGAGTAATGTTTTGTTTAATTGGGGCCTCTTCCCTTTCCATATGAAGTTGGTGATTTGTTTCTCCATCTCATCAAAAAATGCTGGTAGAATTTGGATCGGGATTTGCACTGTATCTGTAGATTGCTTTGGGGAGAACTGACGTTTTCACTATGTTGAGTCTACCTATCCATGAGCAAAGTATATTTTTCCACTTATGCAGGTCTCTTTTAGTTTCTTGCAGTAGCGTCTTGTAGTTTTCTCTGTATAGATCTTTTATGTCTCTGGTTGGATTTATTCTTAAGTATTTTATCTTCTTGGGGGCTATTGTAAATGGTATTGATTTGGTGATTTCCTCTTCAAGGTTCTCTTTGTTGGTGTAAAGGAATCCAACTGATTTTTGTATGTTTATCTTGTATCCTAAAACTTTGCTGAAATCGTCCATTAGTTCCAGTAGTTTTCTTATGGATTCTTTGGGGTTTTCTGTGTATAAGATCATATCATCTGCAAATAGAGATATTTTCACTTCTTCCCTACAAATGTGGATGCCCTTTATTTCTTTTCCTAGCCTAATTGCTCTGGCTAGACCCTCCAGCACAATGTTGAATAACAGCAGTGATAAAGGGCATCCTTGTCTGGTTTCTGTTCTCAAGGGGAATGCTTTCAAAGTCTCTTCAGTTAGGATGATGTTGGCTGTTGGCTTTGTATAAATGCCGTTAATTATACTGAGGAATTTCCCTTCTATTCCTATTTTGTTGAGAGTTTTTATCACGAATGTGTGTTGGACTTTGTCAAATGCCTTTTCTGCATTGATTGATAAGATCATGTGGTTCTTGTCTTTTGTTTTATGTGATGGATTATATTGATTGTTTTTCTAATATTGAACCATACCTGCATACGTGGTATAAATCCCACTTGATCATGGTGAATTATTTTTTTGATATGTTCCTGAATTTTATTGGCTAGAATTTTGTTGAGGATTTTTGCATCAATATTCATGAGGGATATTGGTCTGTAATTTTCTTTTTTTGTGGTGTCTTTACCTGGTTTTGGTATCAGGGTTATGCTGACTTCACAGAATGAGTTTGGGAGTATTCCATCCTCTTCTATGCTCTGAAATACCTTTAGTAGAAGTGGTGTTATCTCTAGAGAAGGGGAAAAATTTGAAAACAGAATCTGAATTTGAATTATGACCTAGACTCCACAGGGCACGGGGATGGACTAGATGTAGGGATACAAATCGAATCAAAGATGACACTAATGCTTTCGGATTATGTGAACAGATGAATGTGAGTACCTTATACTGACAGCAAGGACACAGAAGAAAAATTGAAAGGAGAACATAATAGGCAAAAACAATGAGTTCACCTGTAGACAAGTTGAATTTGAGATGTCTGTGGGACATAAAAAAATTCAGGAGGAGATTTCAAGTTCCATGGTCTTTGAACTGGGTATTTAAAGACACTCCAACGTGTACATGAGATTCAATATCCAGATCCTCAATTTTCCATATGTACTTTTTCCTATACTGATTTCCCTGAGAATGCCTTTCCTACATCCCCTTTTACAATTACCCCTCTCCTACTTTACAAAACAAGGCATACCTCTCTCTCACCCAAAATCTTGGTATGGTCATTAACCTGTTGCCATCAAGTCGATTTCGACTCAGTGACCATACAGGACAGCGTAGAACTGTCCCATAGGGTTTCCAAGGAGCAGCTGGTGGATTCAAACTGCTGACCTTTTGGTTAGCAGCCAAGCTTTTAACCATTTGACTCAGTGTAAAAACCACTATGTAGATCAAGGGTAGTATCACCAGTGATTTGTCACGTGGATATATATATCATATACTCCTAATATGATACAATGAGAAGGGCACTTCACTTCTGTGATATTCTTCCCCAAAACCCACAACTCCAATCTAATCAAGAGAAAACATGAGACAAACCCATACTGAGGGAGAGTCTATAAAATAAAAAAAATAAGTAAAAAAAACTATAAAGGTCATAAAAACTAAGGAAAGACTGATAAACGCTCGAAACTAAGTAGACCAAACGTAATGAGGTATTCTAGATTAAATCCTAGAACAGAAACAGACCATTAGTGGAAAAACTCGTGAAATTCAAATAAAGAATAAAGTTAATGGTATTGTACCAATGTTAGTTTCTTAGTTTTGATAACTATATGATTATGTAAGATGTTAACATTTTCGGGAGGAATCCCTGGGTGGCGCAAATGGTTAAACACTCGACTACTAGCTGAAAGGTCGGCAGTTTGAACCCAGCCAGAAGCACCTTGGAAGACAGTTCCAGCCATCTGCTTCAGAAAGGTCACAGCCTTGAAAACTCTATGGAGCAGTTCTATTCTGCACACACGGGGTCGCCATGAGTTGGAATCAAGTTGACGGCAACTAACAACAACAAAAACATTTGGGGAAGGTAGGTGAGGGGTATACAGGAACTCTCTGAAACATCATTGTAAAGGTAGGATTATTCCAAAATAAAAAGGTTATTTTTAAAAAACAAAGTATTACCACATAAACATTACTGAACAGAATTCAGAAAGACTTAAGAAAAAAAATCACTATATGGCATATAAGTTGGAAGAAACTGAGTAACACTATTGTAGCTCCTTCCATTCCCATTTGCTTATTTATATGAACAAGGTTTCATGGAGGTTATAGCTACAAAAATGAAAATATAAAATTATGACTGTTAAAGAAATACTTTATTCTTTTTTCAATTACACTTGAGGTGATCAAAATTGGATTAATCATAACCGTTGGTTCATGATAAACTCCCATCATGGTTCCTGTATGACCTACTTCTTTTTCAGCTAGTTATTTGTAATATTGTAATGCTGTTGTTGTTAGTTGCCATCAAGTCGATTCTGACTCATGGCGACCCCACATGAGCAGAACAGAACTGCTCCATAGGGTTTTCAAGGCTGTGACCATTCCAAAGCAGATGGCCAGGCCTGTCTTTCAAGGCACTTCTGGGTGGGTTGGAAGTGCCAACCTTTCAGCTAGTAGTCGAGTGTTTAACCATTTGTGCCACCCAGGGACGTGAACAGTTCAGTGACATTAATTACTTAACATATTTTTTGTTTTAGTTTTAATTTTATAAAAAAAATACATATAATATTTTGATTCTTGCTTTTTACACTAATTCTATTGCTTGGATTCATCTATATTGTCAGGTATCACTGTAGCTTATTTGACTGCTGTAAAACATTTTACTGTATAACTATATGGCAGTTTACTCACTCCCTCTCCTGTTACTGGGCATTGGCTGTGAGGTTTTTGCAATTGTGAACAGCGCTGCTATGAACATTCTTATCGATGTCTCCTGTTGTACATGTGCAAGGATTCTGCTTGGATATATATCTAGGAATAGAACTGCTGGGTCAAAGGGTATATGATTTACAGCTTTAGGAGATAATGCCAAACTGTTTTCTACAGTGCTTGCAACAATTTACATACCACTGCAATGTCTGAGATTCTGTGAGTCTATATCCTAATACTTAGCACTTACAGACTTTAATTTTTGCCAGTCAAATGGATGTAAAAAGGTACGGTCTTTATTTGTATTTCCCTGATCACCAATGGTGTTGACTCTCTTTCCAGGTGTTTACTGGACATACATGTTTCTTCTTCTGTGAAATGTATGTTTCTTCTTCCTCCATTTTCCTATTGGATATATATTAGTTATCTACTGCTACCTAACAAATTGTCCCAAAACTCAGTGACCTAAAACAACACTTATTATCTCAGGCCCTGTGGGTCAGGGATCTGGGCACGACTTAGCTGGGTCCTCTGATTCAGGGATTCTCACAGGCTGCAATCAAGGTGGCAGCTGGGCTGCAGTTCTCTCAAGCCTAGACTGGATGGGGGAAATCCACTTCCAAGCTCACTCCTGTGGTTGCTGGCAGGACTCAGTTCTTTGTGGGCTGTTGAATTGAGTGAGTCAGGTCCTGCTGCACTGTTTCAGTATTCTATCAATTTACTACTTCCCCCATTAATATTACGATATTGTTATTATATTATGTACAGGCTCAATATCTTATATTCATTATTTCATGTAATCCTCACAACTCTACAGGATATTTATGCATTTTAATCTCTATTCCACAGATGGAGAGACAGGTATGGTGAGGTTGAAGAACTTGCCTAAAGATAGAGACTTTGGAAATACTAAGGCCAGGATTTAAAACCTGGTCTATTTGGCTCCAGAGACTATAACTACCAGTTCATACTGTCTCCCTTACTTTTTTTTCCTTTTTTATTTCCTGGAAAAAAAGACAGTCCCTAGTTTCTTCAATAGCTTATTTTAAAGAGAAAATGGATACCAGAGAAGGAAGGTAATTTTTTCCCAGCAGTGGTATATGGAAGAACAAGGATTCAAACCACAGCAGTCTGACTACAAGGCTCATGCTTTTTCCATTACCCCAAGATTTCTTAACCAGAGGTTAAGGAGTTCAAAGGAAGAACTTTGGAGGTGCATGAACTGCTTAGAATTATATGCCAAATTCTGACTATTTACTTAAAGTCCATTTATCTGGAGAAATGGCCCACAGCTTCACAAATAGCTCTATGATTCCCTGAAAGGTGAAGAACCAACACTATACTGACTCTCTAAGAAAAATAAGAAAATGAAACATGAACCCCAATGCTTCTTACAATCAATCTGATTACAATATATAAATTCATTTTTTAAAATTCTACTTTTATTCTTACTGAAGAAATCTCTACTGCTAACCTGTTTAGAAAACATGTTATGAAACTCTATTTTTTCCTGATATGTTTATATATTTTAAAGGCTAAGAAATTATTACATTTAAAATGTGTCTTACATTCTTCAGGCTCAACAGATGAATAACTCCCAAGATTTAGTAACTGACTGGTAAACGTTGATTGTAGTACTGTCTCACCAACCCACTGATCCTCATGAACAGTAACATCTAGAGAGGAGAAAAAAACTTCTGATTATGCCATAAATTTCTTTATAAGAATGTATTATTCATGCCTCCCACATGCCAGGCAACTGAATTTCAGATAAATTAAATGATCTGCCTAAAGGTACAAAATGATAAAACAGCAAATCTGAGATCTGAACCTAGGTATGTCTGTATACTGGTAAAATAACAGAGTTGCTTCTGTACATTCAAACATTATCAGTATGGAAGCTCACTGCTCCACAGAAAAAGATTTAATGGCTTTTGTTTACATAAGGCAAATGTTATAATATATATTTCTAAAAAACAAAACAAAACAAAAACATCTTCCAGGGCCAAGAAGCAAAGAAGTGGTGCCTAGGATAGCAAATAACGTTCAGTATGCATTTATCCCTTCTATATAAACGTATCTGAACATAAGGCATTCTTCGCAGACTTTATTTTTCCCTAAATGACGTGGTAATCACCATCTATGGACGTTAAAAGTGAAAAAGACTATGGAAGTAAGGAACACTTTCCAATGAGAAAAAGAGCTGTAAGACCTCAGATGGATAGAAAAGAATCATGTAGTGGAACTAAACATACTAATATGCCAAGTAGGGCAAAACTATAAGTAAAAAACTGTAAAGAGAGGGAGGTGTCCCAGGCAGGATATAATCAGGTACAAAGTCGTGGAGGAATAAAGATATATTAACAGTAGCAAAATAATTTACAGTTAATGAGAAAGGAAAACAAAAATGTATAAATTCTAAGTGATTGCTTCCAAATTTGTATTCCAGATCCTCCTCAGCTGTAGACTTGTTTATTCACAGCTGCATTATGGACATTCTTGCCTTGAAGTTCTATTAGCTCCCCAAATTCAGCATCATCAAAACCTGTTTTTCCTCTCATTTGTTGGTACTATGTCACTAGTAAGATAAAAATTTGAACTCATCCTGAATGTCTACCTCTCCCTTCCACCCTCTGCCCCCAATATCTCACCTTATTTTTTTTAATTGATGTAGTTAAATGAAGTTTACATTTCTAGTCTCCCATACACAATTTTATACATACATTGTTATGTGACCCTAACTGCTCACCCCATTCTGCAACAGCACACTCCTCCTTTCCACCCGATTCCCCATGACCATTCAACCAGCTCCTAACCCTCTCTGCCTTCCCCTCTCACCTCTGGACAGAAGCTGCTCCTTTGGTCTCTTGTATCTATTTGACTAAGAAGCACACTCTTCACAAGTATCACTTTATGTCCCACAGTCCAGTCCAATCCCTGTCTGAAGAGTTGGCCTCAGAACCAATATCTCACCTTTTGATTTTACCTCTTCGATCTGCCCACCACCTTACCACTGCTACTCTTTTACATCAAACATTCCTCTCTCTCCTATCAGATCCTCTTCCCACCTCCAGTCCTTGTCCCAAAGAATATTAGCTAAGGTTCTTATTCCCCTGCAAACTGTTTGGTGAGAACTAACAATTGCCTTGAAATTTTCTTTTTCAAAGCTCGAAGACTGAGCTATACCTCTCCTTTAGATAAGTTATTAGGCTTAATCAACTTTCTCCTGGTCTGAGAGTCAACTTATCTTCTTAAAATGACTGGTATCTCTGCTCTAATACACTGTGTACTGATTTTAAAGTCATTTGACAAAGAACACATAACAAAATGTTAGGTTTCTGATGTGAGACAAAAAAGCAGGATAAAAACAGTGTGTTCTTTATAAGTATTCCCTGACTTACTGTTACGGATTGAATTGTGTCCCCCAAAAATGTGTGTTGACTTGGCTGGGCCATGATTCCCAGTACTGTCTGACTGTCCATCATTTTGTCATCTTATGTGATTTTCCCATATGTTGTAAATCCTGCCTCTATGATGTTAATCTATATGATTAGGTTGTATTTTGAGTCAATCTCCTTTGAGATATAAAAGAGAAGAGAGAGCAGAGAGATAGAGGGACCTCATACTACCAAGAAAATGGCTCCAGGAGCAGAGTACGTCCTTAGGACCCAGGGTCCCTGCACTGAGAAGCTCCTAGACCAGGGGAAGATTGATGATAAGGACCTTCCTTCAAAGTTGACACAGAGAGAAAGCCTTCCCCTGGACCTGACATCCTGAATTCGGCCTTCTAGCCTCCTGGACTTGAGAGGATAAATTTCTCTTTGTTAGAGCCATCCACTTTTGGTATTCCTGTTGTAGCAGCCCTAGATAACTGAGACACTTACAACATACCTGAGTTACAATGAATCGTACTTGTAACTGTTCAAGTTTGTGTGTGTGTACATCTTATCGTTAGTAATATGTACTACATACAATGTTGCAATGTGTAATGTGCTGATGTCATCATATCTATAAGTTTATAAGTAATGTTTCCAACTCCCAAAGAAAAATTAGGATCAGATTTGTAAAGATAATGACAATGAAAGGCAACAATAATAAAAACTAAAAAAAAAGAAAACAGAGGTGTTCAATTTATGTCAGGACCGACTTACAACAGAGTCATCAGAATGGAACTCTGTTGTAAGTTGGGGACTGCCTGTATATAATAAAAGTATGGATTCCGGAGTGATGCTAAAAAACCTGTTGCCATCGAGTTGACTGTGACTCATAGCAACCCCATTACAGCGCAGAACTGCTCCATAGGATTTTCTTGTAATCTTTATGGAAACAGACGGTCAGGCCTTTCTTCCGTGGTGCTGCTGGGTGAGTTTGAACTGCCAACCATAAGGTTAGTAAACCAAAAAAAATCAAACCCATCACCATCAAGTTAATTCTGACTCACAGCAACCCTACAGGACAGAGGAGAACTGCCCCACAGGATTTCCAAGGAGTGTCTGGTAGATTTGAACTGCTGACCTTTTGGTTAGCAGCTGTAGCTCTTAACCACTACATCAGCAGGGTTTCCGATGGTTAAGAGCTTGGCTGCTAACCGAAAGGTCCGCAGTTCGAATCCACCAGCTGCTCCTTGGAAACCTGATGGGGCAGTTCTACTCTGTCCTATAGGGTTGCTATGAGTCAGAATTGACTTGAAGGCAACGGTTTAGGTTAGTAGAGTCAAGTACATATCATTTGTGCCACCCAGGAACCTAACTGGAGTGATGCTAACCCAGGTCAGATCAAGGCTTTGCCACTTTCTAGATGTGTAACACTGAACATATTATTTCTCTGTGCCTTGATTTCCTCAACTGAAAAATGGGGATAATAGTCAGTAACTTTCTCATATAGTTGTTGTAGTGATTTGATATACATGTAAAATATTTAAAACAGGGCCTGACACAAAGTAAGTTCCCAATAAATATCAGCTATTACATATGGAGGAGGCCTGGTGGCGCAGTGGTTAAGAACTTGGTTGCTAACCAAAACGTCAGCAGTTCGAATCCACCAGCTGCTCCTTGGAAATCCTACGGGGCAGTTCTACTCTGTCCTATAGGGTCACTGTGGGGTGGGTACTGAGTCGGAATCGACTTGACAGCAACAGGTTTGGTATTATATATGTATGCATACACATTTTAAAGAGCATAGGAAAAATGACTAGAAAGAAAACACTCCAAAATTGTAATGAGGAGTTTCTTCTCCTCTCTGTATTTCCAAAACAATTAATATAATTTCAATAATAAACGAAAATAATAAAGTAGCAGAAATGCTGTCCTTTCACCATGGGAGAGCTAATATAATTAAAGGATTATAAGTAAGACATACATAGAACAAAGAGCAAGTCTGATGATATAACCTGAATACTAACATAGTGAATGAATGAGAGGGGCAACCAGGGAAGGCTTCTTAAAGGAGAAGATGAGTGGAAAGGAGGGACAGAACTAAGAAGGACACAGCAAGGACCCAGAAATAGCAACGAACAGAATATTGAGGAATGGTAGGGAGACCAACATGGATGCTGTAACAGGATCAAATCATGCTGGAGCCGAGAAGAGGCAAACGGTAATAAAGAATCCCTGGAGACTTAAAGTGGGGAAAAAATAAAAAACCCAACACAGCTTTATAAAATAAACTATCACTACACCACAATGACCTCACCTGTGAGCAAAATTATATCTCCAGGAAACACTGTAAGTGCCCAAAATGCTGCAGTTCGCCACATAAAAACCTTCTTCTTAATTTCTGACTGGTCGATGACTGTGGTTGCCGCTACAGGTACCGCAGAGCCAGAAGGTGGCCCTGATTTTATGTTTACTTCCTTCACATGACATGGAGATAACACCATGACTAAGCAATTATATTTCTGACTTTTACAATTACAGTTTTTTATTAATGATGTCTTTTTAATGTACTTAAATTCAGACACATTCCTCCGGTCCAGTGTTACAGCAAGATCTCTTGCATTAGAAAGCAATTTAGTTTTCTTAGATACTTGAAAGCCTTTAGATGGAGCTTTAGAATGTCCTAATTTATCTTCAGATATCAAACTTCTTTCAATAGAAATTTTATGAAAGGTATTGAGTTGGGAGCACAGTATTCCTGAGCTAAATGACTCAATACAGATCTCATTTGGCGGCAGTGTTTCTTCAGGACTGAAAAGTTCTTGAGATCCTATATTTTCTTCAAGATTGGTATCAGAGTTTATGAGGATGTGGTTATTTTTTGTTTCAGGACCAACAGGACTAAAAAGTTCAAGGGAATATGCTTCATTTTGTCCACTTTTATATCCTTCTGCAAAATCATCACTATGCTGAATCAAATTATCTTCCGTTCCTCTTACTTCCTCATGACTTGCCTTTGGTCCAATCTCCATGTTTATGGTCTCTTTATTTAGAGAATTCTGCCCTTTACACTTCCTCTGAGCTAAAAAAGCAACCTGGCTGGAGGTCATTATACTGAGAAATTCAGTATCAGTAGATATTTTAAGGTTTGAGACCTTCTTAACTCCTCTTTTAGATCTTGGCTTATCTACTGTTTTGGAGAACAAGAATTCCACACACAGGTTTTGCATTTCATGATGTACTCTTGGCACATAAGTTGTTTCTACAGCTTCTGGCCCTATATTAATCTGTTTGGTACTACAGACCAAATCTAATATAGCTGCACACTTATGACCTAACTGTAACGGTGTTTTTGTTAAGTTTGGAGCACAGATACTTGACTGCTCTTGATGCTGTTCAACTGTGATTTTCTTATTTTCAGTGACAAGCTTTTGATTCTTTTCTTCTCCAGTTACATGCTGAACTCTGCTCTTAAATCCACATACTTGCACGCTAGAGTCTGTTAAACCATTCATCCCTGAGGGGGAACACTTCTGAGATTTTATATTCTGTGTCTCAGAAATACAACATATCAAGTCATCTTTCAAATGAACTGATCTTTTCCTAGAGCTCAGTGAACAATGACTATTAAGACCTAGGGGGTCAATATTATCTAGGACTTGATAATTTTCAGGGTTTTTGTGCTTGTATTTTTCATCCTTCAGATGTAAAGAATGTTGACTGTACAAAAGCTGAATTTTTTTCCAGGGGTCAGCAGTAGGTATTACAGAAGTTGGTTCCTGTGATACTGTCATTTTCAGCGGAAGAACTGGAGCACCCCAAAAAATGTAGACTTGAGATCCTCCCATCATGGTTTCTGATAAAAATTAAAAATCTAAAGTTAATACTTGGTCAATACATTTTTGTATTATTGATATTAACTTAATAATGTACCAAAGGCAAATACATAAAATATGAATCAAAAACATAATTAGTAGAGGTGATTTATTTTGGTAAATCCATTTAATTATAAAACTCACAAATACACAAGAAATCACAAAGAGAAAGTAAAATATTCACAAAATATCTTCACCTAGAGACGCTCTTTAAGGGAAACAAAACTAAATATATATATATATATATATATATAAATATATATATATAAAAGAAAAAAACCAAACCTGTTCCCATCAAGTGGATTCCAACTCATAGCGAACCTATAGGACAGAGTAGAACGGCCCGATAGGGTTTCTAAGGAGCGGCTGGTGGATTTGAACTGCCAACCTTTTGGTCAGCAGTCATAGCTCTTAACCACTATGCCACCAGGGCTCTAAAACTAAGTATAAAACCAAACCCGTTGCTGTCGATTCTGACTCACAGCGACTCTACAGGACAGAGTAGAATTACCCCATAGGATTTCCAAGGAGCACCTGGTGGATTCAAACTGCCGACCTTTTGGTTAGCAGCCAAACTCCTAACCACTACACCATCAGGGTTTCCAAAACTAAGTACACTAACCTCAAATGGGTAATGTTTTGACACAAACAATGCATGCCTTCTGCATTTGTTTGCCGGTTGCACCCACCTCTGCAAGGTATTTTCGTAAGCATGCTATGCTAATTTTTTTTTAGAGCAACACGTGGAAGAGGACTGGCATGGCAGTGCTTATGAAGGTGCATGCTGAGGGGAGGGCACGGTGGACAAACAAATGCAGAAAGGCGCATGATACTTGTGTGAAAATATGGTAAATAAGTGTTTAGTATGTTAATTTCTTGTGTTGTGTAAACTTGGTCTATTTAAATAAGGTAGTAGAGAAGGGGAAAGAAAGCATTTGAAATTGTATTATAGTTACCTTTAAATTAAATATACCTGTCTTCATGACTCCATAGATTATCTTGGTATATTTAGGGTCTCCTTCCTTCAACTAAGCAGCCTCAGTGACACAGTGGTTAAGTGCTCAGCTGCTAACCAAATGGTCAATGGTTTGAACCCACCAGCCACTCTGTGGAACAAAGATTTGGCAGTCTGCTTCCATAAAGACTACAGCCTTGGAAACCCTACAGAGTACTTCTACTCTGTTCTACAGGGTCACTACGAATTGGAATAGACTCAACAGCAAAGAGTTTGTTTTTTGGTTCTTCCTTCAACTGGGAACTCAATTTTCAAGACTGAACTAGAAGGCTCAAATCAGAAGGCAAAGGAAATTAATAACTGAGGCTTCAAAATGTGTAAGTGACTGTTATCTGGCTTCACTTTAATCTGTAAGCACAATCAATACCAGATTCTATATATTTTAATCCTCTCTAAAACATAAGTAGAAAGATTAAGAAGTAACAGAAGTAGTCTCCAACTTACCATGTATTCAGGTTATGATGAACTATACTTATGACTGATCTTTTTTTATTGGTACGTTTTATCATTAGTAATATGTACTACAAACAATGTAGTATGTAATTTGCTGATGTCATCATATCTGTAAGCTTATATGTAAAGTTTCCAACTCTCAAAGACAAAGATCAGACTTATAAAGATACTGATTAATAACAAACAATAATAAAGATGGCCTCAGATGGTGGTTTAGTCAGACACACCACGCCATCGCTCTACTGCAAAGACCTGAGAAACCAAGTGAAAGAGATAGAGATGACAATCCTGGAACCCTGAGCATCAAACGGAAGGGTAAAGAATTAGATCAAACACTGACTGAAAGAAGAAACTGAATGAAAACAGCAAATCAGGAGAGATATGGAGCAGAGATGCCAGCTGGCCCTGCACAGTGTGGCCATCTTGACATAAAGTGAGCAGTGATCCTGTGTGAGGAGCACAGGAAGGCAACTTCATAGAATACCGAATAGGAGACACGGAAACTGTGTAGACATACCTGGAGTGAAGCAAGGTGAGCAAGACAGGAATCATATCTAAGAAGGAAAAACACACGAAGGAGGGTGAGAGCTCCAGGGATCCTGACATCCACAGAGTAGGGAGGGAGCCAGGATTCAGAGAGAACTACTCACCAGCAGCAGTCCCTGACCATTAGGGTAGGTGGCGCACACGGAGTAACATCCATAGAGTGTCAGCAGGGGTCTCCCACCCGACCAGACTCCAGCCAGCACCCCCATAAACACTTGGTCAGGGCCAGGTCCAGAATGCTGCCTGTAGCCAATGGGTAGTGCCAAGGAACCTATCCCAGGTGACCAGAGGGGTATGGTTCCCCATGCCTGGTCTCCTGTGATTAGCAGCACAAATCTCGCCCCAACCCCTGCTACCTCACCCTCCCAAGGACTGCAGTATGACCTCTCCCAGCCCCATGTGCCAGCACCCTCCCCCTCCTACTCACCTGATGAGCGGCAGAGAGTGCTCCCAAATCCCCGGTTGCCTGCCACACCCCCACCTGCTGCCCTGCCCACCCAGCAAACAGTAGAGAGCACTCCTGTGCCCACCAGTCACCTGCCACAACACCCTGGCTGCCACCCCGTCCACCCTAGGAGTGCCATCGTGCATTCCTGTGCCACTGGATTGATGACACGAGGCAACTTGCACCCATCCAGCCTGCTCCCAGCTCCCCGGAACACTTGGTGAACAGCAATGCGCATTTGCCCTGTCTGCTGCTGCCCCGTTCACATGGCAGCACGTGGTGAGCACTCCTGGCTGCCAGACCAGTTATCAGTGGAGCACACCCAATCTGCCTACCTTGATATATCAAAATAAAACAAAAAATCAGGACAAAACAAACATACAATCAATCAATACATAAATAAAAGAATATTTTAATGCTTCGGAGACATCAGACAATAACAAATCATATGAAAAAACAGAATAAGATGGCAAAAGCAAAGAAAACCTTCCAGAGGAAGAAAGAATAATAGAACTACCTGAGAAGGAATTCAAAACACTTACATTTATGATCCTCAAAGAGATCAAGGAAAATGCAGGAAAGACTCTAGAAGAATTCAGGAACACAATACAAAAAAAAAATGACAGACTCAATATACAATTACATAACATACAAAAACATTTAGAAATTCAGAAGATTAACAATAAAATATCACAGATAACTCAACGGAAGGACACAGAAGTACAACTGAATCAAAAGAAGAAAGAATCAGCAAAATAGAGGACAAATTCCTTGCTACTCATTTGTTAGGAAAACAATCAGAAAAAAGAATGAAGAAACCCTAAGTTATGCAGGACACCATCAAGAGGAATAATTTCTGCATAATAGGAATTCTGAAGAGGAAGGGGGAAAAATACAGAGACAATTTTTGAGATATATCGGCTGAAAACTTCCCAAATATCATGAAAGACGAAAAGGTTACTATCTAAGAAGCTCATGAAATTCCATACAGGATAGAGCCCCTCAAAATTCACCAAGATACATCATAATCAAACTTTCCAAAACCAATGACAAAGAAAGAATTCTGAAAGCAGCTTGTGAAAAATGAAATACCACTTACAAAGGGGGACTATAAGACTAAGTGCTGACTTCTCATCAGAAACCATGCAGGCAAAAAGGCAACGGGATGACATATAAAATTCTGAAGGAAAAGAACTGCTAACCAAGAATCATATATCCAACAAGACTGTCTTTCAAAAATGATGGCAAAATTAAGAGATCCATAGCTAAGCAGAAATTAAGGGCATTTGTGAAAACCCGATCAGCTTTACAAGAAATATTAAATGCAGTCCTAAGGATAGAGAACCAAGGACATAAGACAACGTCTGAGATAAAGACACAAGACAACATCAACCAGATACCAACCCAGATGAAGACTTCACAAACGCAAAATAAAGCTAAAAAAAAACTGACTACAGGGAACCAGAGGAGTTAAGCTATAAACAATGACAACTACGAAACAAAAAAAGGGCATTAAAGATGTAATTAAAGAACTTCCATATGGGGAGGAAATCAGGGGAATTTCAAGATTAATTTTAATTTTAAGGAGATTAAGGTAAATTTTAGGGCAACCACAAAGAAAAGTAAAAAATCTACTCACCAAAATAAAGAAGAAGAAAACTAAAAAGACTCAGTAAACACAAAAACAACAAGGATTGATAAAAAAAGAAAATCCGTATACAAAAAGAACTCAGCCCAGAAAATTAAGAGGAACAAAGAAACCATTAACACCACCAAAAAAGTACATTAAAATAACAGCAGTGAATCCATTCCTATTGTTAATCACGTTGAATGTAAATGGATTAAATGCATCAGTCAAGACACAGACAGGGCCAGAATGGATTAAAAAAAAATGACTCATCACTATGTTCCCTGAGAGAGACACACACTAGACACAAAGACACAAGAAAGTTAAAAATAAAAGGATGGAAAGAAATATATATAAAGCAAATAGTATCCAAACAGAGAGCAGGAATAGCAATAATAATTTCAGATAAAACAGACTTTAAGTCAAAATCCATTGTAAGGGACAAACAGGGGCATTACATAACAACTAAAGAGTCAATTCACCAAGAAGACATAACAATAATAAATATTTACGCACCCAATGACAGGGCTCCAAAATACATAACACAAACTCTAACAAAATTAAAAAAAGACACAGTCCTACAATAATAGAAGGAGACTTTAACACATTACTTTAGACGAAGGAAAGAACAACAAGAAAGAAACTCAATAAAGACACATAAAACCTAGACTTCTGGCAACATGGCGCTCTAGGCAGAAGCACCACACCGTCCCTCCGCAGCAAAGATCCAAAAAACTAAGCCAAACAGAGAAAACAGCAATCCTGAAAACCTAAGCATCAAATGAAGAGATAAAGAACTCAGCCAAGCACCAAATGGCATAAGAAACTGACAGAGAACAGAGAGTGAGGAGACTTACATGCAGAGGACCCCTATCAGCTAATGCAGCATGGATCC